TTTTTTTATTTATTTTCTATGAATTTTTTAAGTCTGAAATTTTCCCCACAGGGGGAAAATTTCAGACTTGATCCAAATTTTCTATTTTAGTTCCATCTTTATCAGAATCTAATAATTCAAAAATGCGATTATCAATAAAATCAATTAATAAATTTTTTAAATCAGAATTCTTCGAAAAATTCTTCTTTTCATCAGTATAGTTATAATTAAATGCTTTATTCCCTGTTTCATTATTAAAATTAACAATTTCAGATAATAAACTTTTAAATATCAATCTTAACAAATTTAAATTAATTTCATCCAAATCTAAACCATCTGATGATTTTTTTATCATAGAAAACCCTTTTTTATCACAAACATCCTTCATTATTTCAATTATAAAATATCCCACTTTTGGATAGTCTTCAAAAGTATTTAAAAGCAAAAATAATTCAAGATTTGTTATTGAAAACATGACAGTTTCATCTTTATCCTGAATATCTAGTAAAAATTTATATAAATTCATGTTTTCATTATTACCATCTTTTGGTATAACTTTTTCATAAAGTTTTTTAATATTTTTGAATATATTTTCATTTTTTAATTGAAAAATTTTACTTTTTAAATTTTCTATAGGATTTTCTTTATCATTATTCAATTTATATTCTTCATTAAATAATTGATTAATGTATTTAAATACATAATTCTTATACTTTTCTAAACCTTCAATCAATGAAAATTTAAAATCTTCATTTAGTTTAATAATTCTAGATTTTTTTGGTCTAAAACTATTTCTAAAACCCCTTCTTAAACTATTTCTAAAACCCCTTCTTAAACTATTTCTAAAACTTCCTCTTGGTTTTATTCTCAAATTTGGATTTGAATTATCATCTTTTTCTTGATTCACTTCCTTATTACTTGCTGTAATTACTTTTAATATATTTAATAATAGAAAAGTTTCCATAAAGGGGAATGAAATTTTATTTAAATAATAGTTTTGATATATTTGACAAGTAATTTGATAAAATATTTTTATTAAAAATAATTAATTTATTACTTTTTTTTCTGACTGTTTGTTAATATTTTATTAAATATTTTAGAAAATTTTAATTAGTTTGACAGTATAGAAATTAAGGGACTTTTTTAAATTCATTAAAGTAAATTGATAACGAATAGAATTAATAAGTAAATGAAACTATTTAAATAAATTTTTATAATCCTTAATTATGATAAATTATGAATATGAAAGAAGTTTTACTTGAAAAAAACAAAAATTCGAGATAAAACAAATAAATGAGATTCGTAAAGCTGGTATAAAAAAAAGAAAGGTATGCTAACATAAAAATATGTAATATTAAAAATTAGTTAGTTATAATAAATTAAATAAAAATTTTAATAAAATATTTGGATCAATGGCAAAAATTTCTCCATAACAATAAAAAGTAAAAAATCTATTAAAAAATAAATAAAAAAATCAATTTAAAGAAATCTTTATAATTCAATAAATCATTCAATATCTTATTTTGACTTAAATTATTCTTCCAAGTTAATTCAGTTAAAATTTATGTAAGTTTAGATTCTACAATTCCTTTATGAATTTTAATAGCATATTTAAAATTTATAAACACACTTTCGATGTTTTGTGTATGAATAACGTTATTGTGATTTATGAACCCTTCACAGTGATTAAAAGTGAAATGTGAAAACCTTAAAATACTATTATAGCTAAAATGCCCTCAAATGATCACTGTGAATTATTGTTCATGGACAAAAACTTATTCTGTTATTGGTATTAGAGTGTTAGCAGTTTTGTTAGGAACAATATGTAATGAGCTTTTTGCTAGAGTAAATGAACAATCAGTTGGTTTAAATACCTAAATCTCTCTTGTTGGTTGTTTACCTAAATGGTATTTTTGTTTATATTTAAATAAACTTTTATCTATTTGGACAAAGATACTATCCTTACAAGGAAAATTGGATTTTTAGTCTCATATTAAAAAATTGATTACGAAATAAATCAATGATTTTAATAATTGACTTTTTCCTAGTATTCACCTCAGCACCTATCTGTACATGAGTATGGTTATTAAACCATTTACAAGCCACTAATAATATGCTTCTTAGAGGTATAGTTAAGTCTATAGTAGTGACTCGATGTGCATTGAAACATATTTAGAGAAATCATTATAATTTCTATTACTACACCTAAACGCCATAATCACTATTTCTAATGTATGGCAATGTTTCTATATCTAGAAGACATGTTCCACATTTTACATACCTCTTGAGAAATGTTAAGAAATGTTATCAGGTATTCTATAGGACCACTAACTAATAATTCTATTACACTAGTAAACCAATGAATTATTGGTTAAAAACTTTTTCATAAATATTCTTTTAGTGTTTTTATTTTAATTTTTGCACTTGATCTAAATATTTAAAAAATTTATTAACTAGCTTTTATTATTTAAAAAAATTCATTTTCTATTATGATGTTTTTAAATTTTTGTTTAATTATTTAAAATTACAGTTTTATATTCAATTGTAATTTAAAGTTAATTTACTATCACTTACAATCTCTCTATCATAATCTTTGATTCTCTTCTATTCATTTATTAAATCTTTATTAACATTATCACTATTATCCTCTTTTCTGTTAATATTCATGGGTAAATCTTATAAAAGAAATAAATAAGTACCAGTGAGAAAATTATATGTATAGAAAATTACATCACTTGGTTTTATAATCTCAATTATTACGAAATTTTAAGTAAATAGTTTATTTTAAAAATAAATAATGAAAATGACATGAACTTCTATGAAAGTAAAACAAAATCTCTTCAACTAAATTTATTTTATTAAAACTGTTTAATTACAATTCATTTTAATAATATTAAAAGTATGTAAGAAAATAATAAATTATTAACATCTAAAAATTTAATATCTTCATCCAACAGAAATAATCCTGTGGATTAAAACTATGTGTTTTTAACAAATATTTATAAAACAAAAAACAAAATTATCACTAATTTTTTAAATATAATAAACTTAGTTAGTGACACATTCTGATGAATGATTAAAATAATTAAACATAAGATGGGTTTATTTAATAAATTTTCTTAAACACTATAATATTACGTAATGTGAAATATTAGTGGCGTGATGATATTAATAATTTACTTATTATTCAAAATATGATAGTACTAGAATAAGTATTCTAATATATAAAAAAATAGTTGTAGTTATACAACAGTTAGATTTAATATTAAGTAAATATTTTCCCTCCAAAAAATAAATTTGTTTCATAAATCAAACAAAGTTTTGAAATAAAGTTAGTTAATTTTTCATAAAAATTTTAAATTATTTAACCCTTATAATGGTTTACAATAACAACAGGAGACAAGATTACAATAGAGATGATAATTACAGAAGTAGACCACAGACAAGGAGAGAAGACAACAGGAGACCACCTATAACAGAACCAACAGAGATTAGTCTTAAAGCCAACCTTTATGAATACGTAGGTAACCCGTTGACACTTTACAAATACTCAGTAACAATAGTACCAGAAGTAAGGAAAGCGCAACAATTTAACTTTTTCCATAAGATATGTGAACATAATAACTTTCTAGATCATGTGATAGCTTTTGATGGATACAATACATTAGTAAGTAATGAAAATTTAGGAGAATCACTAGTATTAGAATATCCATTAAAGGAAGGAATGTCAAAATGTACAATTGAATTTATAAATACATACAAGAGTGAAGATAAGTTAGATAACTCAAGTGGGTTAATAGAATGTTTAGATGTAATAACTAGATACCATCAGAGATTAAATTATCATGTACAAAAGAGAAAAGTAATAGCACCTGGATCAAAAGGAACACCAATAGCACCAGGTAGAGAGATAATTTCAGGATTATCACATTCATTTATGTATGATATTTCAGGAAAACTCTTTATGAATGTACAACCAGTATTTGATGTTTATTACAAACCACAACCACTGATTGAAATGATAAGGGAATTTCAAGTATTTAGATCACAAGCATATGGACACAGTATAGATAGAATAACTAACCAATTAATGACAGAGTTACAACGTTTATTGAAAGGATTAAGATTGAGAACAATTCATAGAGATAATAAGAATAGAACATTTGTATGTAGAGAGATTATAGAAGAAGATGCAATGCAAAAGATGATAGAATTTGAAGATCCAGATACACCACCAATGTGTGTAGCAGATTATTTTGCTAAGCATTATAAGCCATTACAGTATCCTAATCTACCACTAATTAAGTTTAAAGTAAGAGGAGACCAATACATTTTTATGCCAATGGAAGTATTAGAGATACCAGAAAGCCCAAAACAAAAGTATAATAGTTCATTGACAGAAAACATGACAGCAGTGATGATAAAAGAAGCAGCAAAGAGACCAGTAGATCGTTTTGCAATGATTGAATCGAAAGCAAGAGAATTACAGTTGCGAAACAATAATCAATTAGAGAAATTTGGTGTAATTTTTAATAACAATGTTCATAATTGCCAAGGATTGATGTTACCAGCACCGAAAATTGTATTTGGGGGAGAGAGAGCCTGTAATGTAAATAATGGATCATGGAATCTAGTGAATATGAAGGCATTACAATCAGTACCAATAACATCATTTAAGATCTTTGCATTCAGAGAATTTGATTTACCTGATAATAGAATGATAGGATCATTTTTAGGAATAGCTTCCAAATATGGAATGTATTTTGAAGAACCAATATTACAAACAGTATCGAGTGTAAAAGAATTTACAGAAATGGAGAGAGGGTTTATGAACTTAGTAATTTTACCTAACAATGACTCAGTAAGGTATGGAGAGATTAAGAGACATTGTGAGACTTATAAAGCTAATTTCACTCAATGTATGTTAGCAAAGAATAGAAATCAGTTAATGAAACCTGCATTTGTGTCAAATCTATTAATGAAGATTAATACAAAGATAGGAGGAAAGAACTTTGGAGTAGATACGAAGATATTTGGAGACAAACCAACCATGATATTTGGTATTGATGTTAGTCATCCTGGCATATCTGAGGATAGAATGCCAACCATTGCAGCAGTAGTGGGTTCATTAGATTATGATTTCATTACTCACACAACTGACATTTGTGCACAAGAAGCTAGAAAGGATGTAGTTGTTAATTTACAATCAATCATTGTTAATCAATTAAAGAAGCATTTTAATTCAACGGGTATCAAACCTGAGAGGATTATTATATTTAGAGAGGGTATTAATGATTCTGCTATGGATCATGTTTTTAGTACTGAAATTGCTGCTATTAAAGATGCTTGTGTTGAACTTGAAAAAGGTTATTTGCCTGAGATCAATTTCATTGTGTCACAAACTAGACACAATGTTAGATTTGGTACTGCTGATGATTGCTCTAATTTACAGCCTGGTTCGTTTGTTTCTGGTCTTGGTAATAAACAATTCCTTGACTTCTTCTTGGTATCTGCAAATGCTTTACAAGGTACTGCTAAACCTACTAGGTATGTCTTGTTTTACAATGAGAGTGGTTTTACTCAAGAATCTTTGTATAATCCTTTGTTCTCATTATGTCATCTATTCCAAAGAGCTACTAAATCAGTTTCTCAACCACCTTGTGTAAGGTATGCTCATTTAGCTTGTCAGAGGGGTAGATTTTATATTGAGCCTGATAGAACTCTTGATGAGAATACTCTTACTCTTAGAAGTGTTTTATTCCAAATTACTAACACTCTTTATTACGTTTGAATAAAACAATATTAAAAAATTTTTCAATAATATTACTATAAAAATTTATTTTTTATTAAATTTTTTCTTAAAATAACTAATCTTAATAACAATAATTATTAATGAAATAATAGCTAATGAAA